TGCCGATGAAAGACTATATGGGAAGATCCAAGTATTAAACAGATTCAGAACTAGGCAAACACTCAGAAAAGTGTCAGCAAAAGAAAATTTGATGCAAAGCACCTGACAGACTGCCAAGGGTTACTCCACAGCTAATGAGATGCCTACATAGCACATTAACAGTTCTCAAAGACAACAACATGATGGATGATTTCTAACAGATACCCCTACAGTTACCGCATTTGAATAAAAAGGAGTTTTAAACATTTGATGGGCTGGCATAGACAGCTGGCCTGTAATTTAGCCCAGAGCACCTACAGAAAGCACAGGTGTGCAAAACCCAGGAGCACAAATCCAAGGTCTGTGAAACTCAAGGAAGAATCAGATCAGAAATAACCCTGAGAAATAAGCACTTAGTTTGTTTATCAGGTTTGACAAGAGATAAACAAAGTTACCTGTCCTGCATATATGCAACATACCTCTTAGACAGGAACAGCTTAAGTGAAAAATAGGCTTTACTGTAATTTTTGTTGCCATATACCATAGTTGCTGTACTTACTATTTTGTCTGTAATCATTACCTCCTTTAGTAATGGAATTTTTCCACTGGCCCCCTGTGATAAGCTACATTAGAAACCTTACAGCTATAATAAAGGAAAGATAAGAATCAAAGACACTAATTCACTTCAAACAGGACAAGGCTGAGGAATCTCAAATACGACTGCCCACTAACTTATCTCAACTGCACCCTACTTTTAAAAAGCGTGTCAGCTGAAGTAAGTGCTAGACTACTCTTATATTTCAAATTGCTACATTACATAAATAAAAATAAACTTGGTTATGTGGCACTTCCCTTCAAGGAGAAAATGTCACGGTCCCAGAAAATAGATTTCAGTGGAATGAAAGTCAACACTTCCAGAGCTCTCTGCAACTGGGCAGTCAGTGAGTAGCAGAGGACAAAGGACCAGTCCTCACACCATGAGAGTCTTCATTTTAATGGGTAGACAAAGCTTCAGAAAGAGAAAAGAGAATGAGGTGCAGATGCTATGAACACCACCAAACTTTTACGAGAGGCCACCACAGATTGTGAAACAAATTACCAGAGATCTGATAGCAGGGGATACTTTTTAGAAATTATAGAGAGAAAAAATTGAGAGCGCCAAAAATGAAAAAGTAATACAAGGACCTAGAACACCCTTCAGGGAAAGCCAGTCTCTACAGATTTAATCAACATGATGGAAAAAGGAAACCAAATTACTTTTACTTTTCTATGCTGGCTAGAATGTGACTCGCCTGCTGAGATCCTATGACAGCAGATTTCCTGCACTTGCTTCAGTCACATTTGCATCACTTCTGCTGGCACCCCCGTGCAAAATTGAAATCACCAAGATACTTTGTTCAGGTGACATTAAACATTGGAGATACATGAAATGCATTTAGCGATTTGACATAAAATCTTCCAAATGCCCAAACTAGGCTCTTTTCCCTATTTTGCTTGCAAGGCCTGGTACAGTTGATGTTCTCAAAGCCTGCCCACAGAAATGGTTGTAAGAAGTGTCTTCTCCTAACTCTCGCCATGGAGCTCAGTAGTTACAGCATTTCTGTAGGATGCCAGGGATCCATCCCTGGCACTGGGCATCCATCCCTGCCACTCACTCTTTTGAGGGAGGATAGTTAAACTTGTAATTCATAAGCAAGGGCAGGCATTTTTTTGCCTGATCTCTCTGATGCATTTGGCTATGACAACATTGCACATATATCCAAGCTAGCTTTAAACGAGCTGTAGTGGCTGTCCATCCGCTGTGGCACAGAGCTTGGTGCAAACAGCCCAAGAAGTGGCAAACTGATGTGTCTGTGCTGCTTTGGATGTATTACCTTCACCTGAGCTGTTTAAGTTAAAACTCACACAGATATTCCCACACTACAAGGCAGCTACATCAGTGGCTGCATTATAAATAAAGTGAAAAGTAAAGCTTACTCCACATTCATATAGGCCCACTGATTTCACTTATTAAATATGTTTATGGGCCAGTTCACAATTTCTGTTGAAAAGTACTGAGCAGATGCTGACTACCACTTCTGACATGTCCTTACAAACACACGAAATATAATAGTTTTACAAAGAATGCATAATATTTTGTTTTGATTTCTAATCTTTTATTCAAGAATAGTCAAAGCACGTTTTTAACACTGCAGCACATTCATATGACAAATCTTTTCTGTGAGAGCACAGAGTCACTAACTCCAAGGTCATAGGTTAACTGAGCACGCAGGTTTGCCTTTCTCTCACTGAAAATTCAGCTAGACAGTCCTGTGCAGCAATGCTCTTGGACTAAGTAAGAGAAATAAAGTTGCAATAAATCTTCAAAATCTTAAGAACACTCCAAAGAGAAAATTTTTCACATCAAACTGTCAGGAGAGATCATTGCAGGATAAACAGAAATGGATACAATCTGACTGCACTGGCACAGTGACAAACACTAATCTAGTGCACGAGAACTGACACTGCACCCTACACCTAGAAAGTTGTCTCCTCCTGGGATAATGAACTTAAGTCTTTTTGGGGCTTGCATGAAAATTTCAAGGCAGATTTATGAATTATCTGAGAAGAGCCAGTTAGAGCCTCCTCAAGACCTGCTTCCTCAAAAAGACATTTCCAAGGAGGCCATATATCAAAGGCTGCCCAAAGACATCAGCTAATGATTATGGCTGTTACATTTCAGCGCTGCTGGAATCCTACTATTTACTAGAGAATAATGTAACAGTTTACATCATCTGCTGCCTAAACATGAGCCATCACCCTGAGAAACAAAACGGGAAAGGCCGTGTTCTGACCCCATCCTACCTCCGTCTCCTAGACCAGGGTAAACAAAGTCTACCATTTCTCATTTGGGCAGCACAGCTCAGCATTTCATGCTGCCTGCTCTGGAAAACCAAAGAAGGGATTAATCTACCTTCCAGCAGGAAGGGCTTGGCCTTGGGCACCAATGATCCTCAACGGTCTCCTGCAACATGTATATTCTGTCCTGCCATCCCTGTCCTGAGCACTGTCAGTCAGCGCCCACAGTAGTCAGAGACAGCCCGGGAGCAGCCAAAAGCAGGAGGTTTTCCATGCAATGTCCCCGTGCACTTTTGTGGCAAGCATTCCCTCTCTGTCAGAGGCTAGTGTGTAGTAATCAACAGAAACCTCCTCTTCCTTGGCCTCCTTGTACAACCTTAAACAAGCCGTCAAGCAATACGATTTCCCAGCCTGTTTCAATTCCCTACCAGCAATTTAGAAAGTAGTTTTGAAAAATGCTTGATCCTTACCAGTTTCCAATGAATCGGGGATCACTCTGGTCAATATAAACAGTTGTCCTAGGATCAACATAGAAACCAATAAGAAGTCCTCCTAGCAAGTATCCAGCTGCGGGACCGAGTGCTCCCATTACGTACATGACGGCTGAGAAAATAAAAGGTCAGAGTCGTACATCAATAAAATGAATGTTTCATTAGTTATTTACATGTAAAATCCAAAAGTAAAAGATGCTTCTTAAAGCAGGGAGTTTTGTACCCTAAAACCTTCAGAGCCCTTTTTTGCAAGTAACATATTGATAAGAAAATTACTGCTTTCTGTACATTTTCAGTCAAATTATGGATGGAAGTATATACTACTTTGGTATTCTGGATGGAAAGCATACTTGACTTTGACAATATTTTTCATATTTGCTAACATTTCTTTTGAATCGAAACAAAATATAATACATAAATAGAAAAAACATGATTAATGGTAAGCAAACAGAAAAGCAAAGGATAAAAATTGTGTAAGACACCAAAGAACAAAGTACAACATTCCGACTTAGTTACCATCACACTAATACTGGGTTTAAAACAATGACCAAAGTTAAGAAAGCAAATATTTCTATTTCAGAGATTGACAGAATTCTGTTTTTATCTGTGTAGCCATGAACTTGCCCCTGTTTTACATAACTGATGCCAGCAGACTGTATATACCATATTTCCTGCAAGACTCCTGCCTTACTCAGAACATTTGATCTTTTAAATTTAAAATCTTAATGCTATTTTAAAAGGGATTTCCTATTTTAAAAGCAAGTAAAATGAAAATAAGTAGTTCATGTGTAACCATACAGACGCACATTTTCCAATAGCATCACGGTCTGACCATTGGATGACAGCAAAATCGTTATAACTTGGAATAACAGAGTGGGAGATGATAGCAACAGAATGCTCCTATCTGCTGTGTCTTCTACAAGATACTCTTCAGAGTGCAGTCTCCAGTCCTGGTCCTTCAACCATCCGCATCAGGGCATGTGTGAGAAAATGTTGCAGCTCCCCTTTGGCTTGTGTGCTAGTGCTGTCAGGAGGAAGGGAGAGACAGAGGCAAGGAAATACTACATCTTACCAGGGGGCCAAGATGCAACTGGACCTGGGACCCAGGAAACCTTTCTGCATCTCCCAGTAGAGGCATAGTTGAGACACCAGCAGGAGCAAAAACATCTGGTCTGTTTGCTGACAAGAACTGAGTGCTGAGATTTAGGAATCCTGCTCTCATTTGCAGGTTTTGAAAGGTGGATAATTTAAAGGCTGTCATTTGCCTTGCCTTTAAGTCTTGCCAATTCCACTCTTCTCCTTTTCTGCTTCTGCAAATCCCACATCAACTTTTTAACTAAGTCAATGTCAGTTTTCACAATCTTAAATTCCAACACCTTTTAGAAGATCCATATGATCTTGACCACAACATCAAGACCATAGCCATCTTCCAAAGATTGTTTTTTTGTAAGGAACCAGCTGTATCAGCTGAATGTTCACAAGTCCGTGGGGCCTGATGGGATTCATCCCAGAGTACTGAAGGGACTAGCAGATGTTATGGCAGGACCCCTCTCGACCATGTACCAAAGGTCTTGGGAGTCTGGTGAGGTCCCTGCTGACTGGAAGCTAGCCAATGTTATTCCAATCTACAAAAAGGGCATGAGGGAAGACCTGGGGAACTACAGACCTGTTAGTCTAACCTCAGTTGCCAGAAAAATTATGGAGAAGGTAATACTGGGTACTACTGAAAGGCATTTAAAGAATAATGCAATCATCAGACACAGTCAACATGGGTTCACGAACAGGAAGTCCTGTTTAACTAATTTGATATCCTTCTATGACAAGGTCACCTGCCTAGTGGATGAAGGGAAGGTGGTAGATGTAGTTTTTCTGGATTTTAATAAGGCTTTTGATACTGTCCCTCACAGCGGCCTTCTGGACAAGTTGTCCAACTGTGGGATGAGCGGGTTCACGGCACACTGGGTGAAGAGCTGGCTGAAGGGCAGAGCTCAAAGGCTTGTAGTGAATGGGGCTACATTTGGCTGGTGATCAGTCACCAGCAATGTTCCTCACGGTTCAGTTCTAGGGCCAGTTCTGTTCCATATATTTATCAATGATCTGGATGCAGGAGTTCAATGCACCATTATCAAGTTTGCTGATTATACCAAACTGGGAGGTGCTGTTGACTCTCTTGAGAGACAGGAGGCCTTGCAAAAGGATCTAGATAGATTGGAGCACTGGACAATCATTAATGGCATGAAGTTTAACAAGTTGAAATGCCAGATTCTGTAGCTAGGATGGAGTAATGCCAGGCACAAGTATAAACTGGGAGAGGAGTGGCTGGAGAGCAGCCCTGCAGAAGGGGATCTGGGGGTGCTGGTCGACAGCAGCTCAATATGAGCCAGCAGTGCGCCCTGGCAGCCACGAGGGCAAACCGCATCCTGGGGTGCATCAAATACAGCATAACCAGCCGGTCAGAAGAGGTGATTATCCCTCTGTGTTCAGCATTGGTGCGGCCTCACCTCGATTACTGTGTGCAGTTCTGGGCCCCACAGTTTAAGAAAGATGTGAAGGTCCTTGAATACGTCCAGAGGAGGGCAACAAAGCTGGTGAAAGGGCTGGAAGGCATGTCCTGTGAGGAGCAGCTAAGGATTTTGGGCTTGTCAGCTTTGGAGAAAAGGAGGCTGGGGCGACCTCATTGCTCTCTACAGCTTCCTGAGGAGGGGAAGTGGAGAGGGAGGTGCGGATCTCTTCTCCCTGGGACGTGTAGGAATGGTTAAAAGCTGTGCCAGGGGAGCTTTAGACTGGTCATTAGGAAGTATTTCTTTACCAAGAGGGTGGTCAAACACTGGAACAGGCTTCCTAGAGAGGTGGTCGATGCCCCAAGCCTGTCAGTGTTGAAGAGGCATTTGGACAATGTCCTTAACAATATGTTTTAACTTCTGGTCACCCCTGAAGTGGTCAGGCAATTGGACTAGATGATCATTGTAGGCCCCTTCCAACTGAAACAGTCTAGTCTAGTCTATTCCTTCCTTAATGCATCCTGCAGTACTCCGTTTTAAGATGCTTCTGTCCTGCTTCCCGTACTGTCTGGCTGTAAGCACGAAAGGCAAGAGGGGTGGTAAGGGATGGTCTCTGCTGTCCACTCATACATCCAGTACCACCAAAACCCAAGCTCCAGCAGTACAACACCTCTTGCTCAGCTGCTGCAGATCCACTATGTAGCACATGAAAAAACAACTGACTATCTAATTCTCTGAAGACATCATCTTCACTGCGAAATCTCTATCTCCGCATGCTTTCTGTGGAGCAGTCACTCTCCATGGCAGTATGCAAACTCCATCCTTTTTGGTCCCATCCTCAATCAGACATGCTGTGTCCTAGACTGCAGCACCTGAGGAAGCACAGCTGAGTTGTTAGAGCTTGGGTTTCTGCATTACCAGTTATAGTAAATTATATCTCACAGAAAAATAAGCAAAAAGAAATCACTAAATCTGCCTGATTAAACCAAAATAACTTGTACATTTTCATCTTATGTTTTGAAATAAGAGAAAGAAGAAAAAGAACATTGTCATGAGTAAAAAGGGGCTGCAATCTGAGAGCTGTATTGAGGGGAAAAACATCACAGAAGCTACCACAAAAAGTAAACGGCCTATAGTAAAAAAATGTTTCCAGACTACAAATTGATTAAACAGATTTATCATTTTTAAATTACTCTTTCTTAAACACATTTTCAATTTTTATTAAACTGCAATTTCAAATAATTAGATTTTGCTGAAGCCTTTTTTGCATAATGGTTTCCAGAACTGTGTTCACTATTTAAATTTATTCCAGCCATGTTCCCTTCTGGATTGATTGTAAACAATTCTCTCTATGCCTAAAATGCTCCATCAGACATTGTAATGCTGCTCCTTAGCAGTAAGTGGTTAGATAAATCCCACAGTAACTGTTATTTGCAAAATCCACATCATGAGGAGGGGAAAAAAAAAAAAAACAAACTCCATCCACTGTAATAAATTTTGTTCTACAAATGTTTGCTTGGAAAATTGATTCAAACAACTACAGCAAACTCAGATCTCTAAAAAGTTTACAGAGGAAACACAAAGGGAGTAAAAGAGTGACCTAATCCATTCATTTCAGTATTCAGAAAAAATACTTATGCTGCATTTATTCAGCTTCAGTTCCACCACTGAAACAGGCAAAATGCAGCAACTGCTTAGGCTTAGAAGCACTATCTAGACAGTGCATTTTGTACACCTGGTAATTTCAGAGGGTTTTCTTCATAAGCAGAAATACTGTACAGTAAAGATAAAAATAAGAGTGTATACTGTGCTCCATTAGAGGAGGGAATGCTGTCCAACATTTCAAAAGTATTTTAAAATTACTGTATGCAGGTCAGGCTTCAAGTTTTTGATATAACTTACTCACAGACAACATGTAACTTTCTGGATCTTTTGGAAAACATAGAGTCCCCATGTGCCTGGTCCAGGGCAGGAGGAAACCTGTGAGCAGGCGAGTTCCACAATTGCCACTTCAAGACACTTTGCAGCATCTTCCTCAGCACCTAGTAATGGCCACTATCAGAAATTGGACACCAAGTGCAATAAACTGATTTGGACTTCTAAATAGGACTAAAGATAGGGCATGGCAAGTAAAAGATTTTGATATTTCAAAGTGAGGTACTTAAAAAAATCTGCCCCAAACCTCCAAACCTTGCTGTGGAAGTGAAGGGAGAGCCATCTCCAAGAGTCACCCTGGCAGGCTGCTCCAGGGTCCTGGACCCTTGAAATTCTGGTCACAGCCCTCACAGCTACACACCCCAATGTCCAGGAATAGAGAGGTTCCTGATTCCCAAACAGGCCACCAAGATTACTGGATGATATAGAAATGAAACTAAACTGGAAACAGATTCAATCAGGGCATCATCAAAACTGAGCCCACTTCACAAATACAAAATTCTATGAAATACTGTTCCATAATTTTTTCCACTCGCGTCACTAGAAGGTCTCCAGCTTCTGGATGAAAAAGGTTCTGAAACACGTAGATGATGTAGGAGCACCTTCCTTTCAGCCCCCTGCCTGGCATTTCAGATAGCTCTTTTTGGTCCTCCCTCTTTGGGCCATGATCTGGGAT